CTGAGTTCACAGCTAACTAGGTATTTGAAGCTGGATCTTGTTGTATAGAGCCTGACACTATAGCATATATCCATTTTACATTGGATTTTCAGATGTCCAAGATGAGTCCAAGGTCAGTCACTGAGTTCACAGCTAACTAGGTATTTGAAGCTGGATCTTGTTGTATAGAGCCTGACACTATAGCATATATCCATTTTACATTGGGTTTTCAGATGTCCAAGATGAGTTCTTCCCTGCCTTCTCTACTAGCCCTTGTGTCTTTCGCTTATGTGGCCCTCAAATCCCTCCCTCCCCTAACAAATCCTGCCAGGAAAATTCTTTGATAGCGTCACTGTAAACACCTTAAGGTTGTAATAAATCTGAAATGACTGGAAGGCACACAACAGCAACAAAGGATGATAACAATAATTATAACAGGGCTAGTATAACAATTATAACAGGGCTAGTATAGGAGCCCCCGGTGGCGCAGTGGGTTAAAGCACTGAGCTGCTGAGCTTGTTGATCAAAAAGGTCGCAGGTTCGATTCCGGGGAGCGGCGTGAGCTTCTGCTGTCAGCCCTAGCTTCTGCCAACCTAGCAGTTCGAAAACATGCAAATGTGAGTAGATCAATAGGTACCGCTCCGGCGGGAAGGTAACGGCGCTCCATGCAGTCATGCCGGCCACATGACCTTGGAGGTGTCTACGGACAACGCTGGCTCTTCAGCTTAGAAATGGAGATGAGCACCACACCCCAGAGTCAGACATGACTGGACTTAATGTCAGGGGACTACCTTTACCTTTACCTTAGTATAACAACAACAGACGTAATCAAGGAAAAAGAAGGGTTTATGGGTTCAGATCGTTTAGCTTTCAAACTGAATAAAACTTTATTTTATTTCATTTTTGGTTAGGATTATGGCCTTGGAGGAAGGTATTAACACCCTTGAAAGTGGCAGCACTTTGAACATCCACTGTAGCGAATCCATGCCTAACGGTGCTTCAATAACTGCAACACAGTCCATTTAAGAATCGAAAGCATCAGCAGCAATAAGAGTTCAAGCCTAAACCCCTAAGACTCTGGGCTCCCTTTAAAAAACCACAAGTATTGCAATTTAATTCCCTGCATGCTTATACTTGGAGGGAGATCTCTCTGGAATCAATGGGATTCAAGGCCGATCGCTATATTTTGATTGCTTTGGAAATAAGAATCAGTAGGCCACAAGCAGGCAAAGTGCTAGATACTATTGTATTGCAACTCCCAGCAGTCTCAACAGTGACTATGTTGGCTAGTGCTAATTAGTACTTTGCCAAGTCTTATGTTGTTGTTGTTGTTGTATACTCAGGGCATTCCAAAGTAATGCCAAACTTTAAGGAAGCTAGGTTGTAGTTATTTTTGCAAGATCTCAAGGAAGTTTGCCATTGCTTTCTTCTAAGGTGGAGAGAGTGTGACTTGCCTAAGATCACACAGTGGAATCATCATCACCATCATCATCATCATCATCATCATCATCATCATCATCATCATCATCATCTTTATTTATACCCCGCCACCATCTCCCCAAAGGGGACTCGGGCAGCTAACATGACGCCAAGTCCGAAAATACAATGCAGCAAAATAAAATACAAAACAACAACAAAAAAATTATATCACAACAAAATATATAAACTAACAAGTTAAAATAAACAGTGGAAAATAACATAATACATTTCCCTGATTTAGTGGAGAATCATAGTCCAATGCTCAAGTAACATGCCATGATGGCTCTCAGTCTTACTTTGGCATTCCAAAAACAGACAAAAAAACAAACAAACACAAAGATATGGGAAAAGAGGGAAAAAGGAAAAGAGTTTTTTTTCTTTAAAAGGTATATATAAAATCAGACATGTAGATCTGTTTGGGAAAGAAGTGGACCAGTGTTCTCCGATACAATAGCATAGGCACTTATGACATCTCCACATCATGCATTTATGACATATACGACATCAAATGTAACTCTGATGTTGAAATATGTGGTTCTCTCTGCCCAATAAACACGGATTACAGTATAGCCGTAGCATTCTGCTGTTGGCTCAATGACCACACTAGAAGGAACTTAAGGGCTGAAGTGTTATGAGTTGCCATTTAAATGCACAATGTGACTCATCCTTGGCATGAAACTGCATTTGTGTAACTGGGAACAAGCAGATGTTTCCACGGGTTAGTGACATTTTACCCATTTTGGAAAGCCATCTGCCACTTGTTTCTACTTTTCCTCTGCTTTGGGGCTGCATGATCCTCCCATGTTTGGAAACATATTCTTGGGATGAATATGAAATGCAGTTCTGGCAGCAACCTCTATTCATTTTCTGTCACGTTTAGGTACTCTGTCCACACTTTCTCCAATAGCTAACTTTTAGAAACTCCCATGGCATTGGAATGAGGACTTCCGAATTCACTTGAAACTCCCTTCCTACTTAAATTAATTTGGCTTAGGGCCTTTTAGGCCACAAATGGAAGAATATGCTGTTATTCTTCCATTTTAACTACCTTGGAAATAGCCAATGGAATTCTGAAATTTGCACTTTAGGGAGGGAGGTCTGTACTCACTCAGAGAACTCTATAAATTACAGAACCCAGAATTTCACAGGGCATTGGCATATCAGTGAAAGGGAAATCGTGGTGCTAGAATGACATCATGAGAAGGGACCTTTAAGTCCTATAATGGTCAAAAGACCTCAAGGAGTCTGAGGAGCACTATGGTATTATCATCATGACACACAGTGACTGTAAGAAACAATGTCTGCCTCAAGAATGAGAACACTTGACTGGACATGGACCTCCTCAGGGAGCATCTACAGTGTAGAATTTATGCAGCATGACATCACTTTAACTGTATTCCAAGGGATTCTACGAGTTGTAGTTTGTAGTTTGGTGAGGCACCAGCACACTTTGGCAGAAAAGGTCAAAGATTTTGTAAATCTACACCTCCTATGACCCCTTAGCATTGAGCCATGGCAATATAGTGGCGTCAAACTACATTAATTCTACAGTATAGATCAGTGGTTCCCAAGCTGTGGTCCACGGACCACCAGTGGTCCGCAAGAACTATAATATGGTCCACGGCCTCACTGTTACTATACCGTTGCAGTGAGAGTGGCTGGTCTCACAAAACCTTCTTATAGTGACAAGGCTTATTAATATGGTTTTCTGTGGGTGAACAGATGGCAACTACTGGGTGGCATATGTTCTGTATCTGAAACTAAAGCTGATGTGGTCTATCCAATGCAATTTTCTGAATCAGCATTTCAAATAACCAAACAGAATCTAAAGCTGACCAAAAACTTATTTGTAACCCTTTGGGTACTAATGTTGGAGAGTGGTCCCTGGTCAAAGTGGTCCCTGATCAAGTGATCTTTGGTCAAAAAAAAAAAAAAGGTTGGGAACCACTGGTACAGATGTATCCAAAGTAACAACTAGGGTAGTTCCACAAATTTCTGGATTCTTACTAGAACAGGCCAATGCTAGATCAGCTGCAGACCAAATAAGGAGCTTTTCCAAGTTTCAGCTGCCTCCATTGAATGGTAAGTATGAAAGGCGGCGCAAAATTAGAACACGGGAGAGGAACGTTGATTTATCTAGAGCAATTTGTAGTTCCAACCTTTTAAAAAGGTCAAAATAATGTACACCATCACCACCACCATCATGAGTTTGTTTATATATAGCAACCATCAATAGTTTTCCACCAATAGTTATGCCTTTAAAATGGATGTTTAAATGAGCTTGCCATCCAGGGATGGAAATAATAATTTTAATTAAATAAAACAGCATTCTCCCCTACCAATCTTCACCCTCTTCCAATCCTTAAGAACAAATGCTGCTCATTTACTCTGGCTAATAATGCAGAATGCTATAATCCTTCTCATGCTGGGTATCAATCATACCCAGCTTTATAGCCTGTCACATGGCAGCATAGCATGAAGTGTGACTGGGGTAAATTAAAAAGGCCCATACAAATGTTCCTTTCTCTCTGTGTCCTGTTTTGGTTTGCAGAATGTGCTCAATAGTAAGCTAAACAACTGGATAATATCTAAAAAAAATGAAGCAGCATAAATCTGCATTGCGATACAAACTCAATAGTTTCAAATACAATGAAAGACCCAAGTGCTGCTTCATTCATATCGCTGGCCCAGTTTACCAGTACCAGAAGCTGCATTTTGCCCCATCATTGAAAATGACCAGAAAATTGCATTACACCGGGAGCCATGACACCCAACATTATGAATCCTCCCATTGTTATCTATAACACCTTTAGTATGAGTTGATACCTCCTGAAAAGACCAACCAATCTTAAGTACAACTCCCTCACTACAAAAGTTTCTACTGCCTTTGAAGATTTTTGAAATGACTGAAATGGAAAAATTATCTGTTTTGATCAGAGAGATATTCGACCAACTTTTAAAGGACTGTAAGCTATTTTGGGATATATATGAGGCAAAAACGGAATATGTGATATTTGAAAACTGATATAGATGAGAACTGTTTTTAACTTAGAAGAAAAGTAGTTTAATTTGAGATTAAAGATAAGTTTAAGAATCTTGTAATAGGCTGTTGTAGGTTTTTCGGGTTGTATGGCCATGTTTAGAAGCATTCTCTCCTGGCATTTGGCTTGCATCTGTGGCAAGCATCTTCAGAGGACATGGCCATACAACCCGAAAAACCTACAACAACCCAGTGATTCCAGCCATGAAAGCCTTTGATAATCTTGTAATACCCCTTCCCCCAAAAAACAAACTTGTTAGGCTTTGGCTTTATACTAAATCAGGGCTTTCATTTTTTCCCTTGACTCTGTCAATTCTGACTGGCAATATATCTCCTGGGTCTCAGCCAACTCTAATTCTTCCCTGGCTTTGCCCTCCAACATACTTTTCAGTTGGAAAAGCCAAGCATTGAACATGAACATGGAATCTTCAGTATGCAAAGTAAGCACCCTACTATTGAGTTTGGCTCATCATTTCATTTTGAGCAATGAAAAATACCTTACCTGTAATGTGATAGCTAACTTGGCGGTTGATGTCAGATGTATCCTCATCCCATGTGCTGAGGACGGCCACAACTTCACCAGGCGAGTCGCTCTCTTTCACAGTACCTCTGTACATATCATGTTCAAACACTGGGGCATTGTCATTAATATCTGTCACTGTGACAGAGATCAATGTGGTCGATGAAAGGGACAAGGTTTCTCCCAGGTCAGAAGACACCACTGTGAAGGAGAAAGTGGGGTTCCTTTCATGATCCAAGTCTTTCAAGGTGCTGATCCAGCCACTGTTGCTGTCAATGGTGAACACTTCTGTGATTCTATCAGCCTCTCCTTCTGCCAAGATTGAGTAGGTGACTTGACCATTTGCCCCCCAGTCTGCGTCAGTTGCTTTAACCTGAACAAGTTTTGTTCCTATTGGCATGCCTTCCATTATGATGGCTTCATAGCTGGCTGATTCAAATACTGGTTTGTTGTCATTAATGTCCAGAACTTTAATGTCCACGTCCACTGTTAGCACAACATCTACCTTATCTAGTTGTATGGTTGCAGCAACTTTAAAGTGAAAGGCAGAGTTTGTCTCATGGTCAAGCCTCTTATCAAGTTTTATGAGGCCAGTATCCCGCTCTATAATAAAAACTCCATCCTTGTTGTTTTCTGACAGATCGCCATTTACCGTGCTGTAAGTGGCCCCCTGATTAGGCAAAACATGCAGCGCATCAATAGTGCTACCAATAACCATATCTTCTGACATTGTAAAGGAATATTGGGGTTGAGAAAATGAAGGCAAAATCGTTTCTGGAGGTAAAACATGAATGTACACAGGGATAAGGGAGTGCTTTACGGGTATGCCACCATCAACTGCTTTGACAAAGAAAGAAAGCACTGTGTTTTTAAGTTGGTTAAAATTACCCTTCGTTACCATCCATCCATTGTCGGGGTCAATTTCCAGGAGATCTGCAACAGAAACGGAAGCCTCGCTGTATAGCGAATAGGCAATCCTTGCATTTGCGCCATCATCTGGATCCACCGCTTGGACTTGAGTGACCAAATGACCTTTCCCAACATCTGCTTTGACACTTGCCCGGTACTCTACTGTCATGAACTGGGGAGCGTTGTCATTCTCATCCACCACAATGACTCTCACTGTGCAGAATGTGGTCCTGCCTCCTCCATCAAGAGCTCTCAAAAATATGGTGATGTCACCTTCTAAAGGGATCTCTCGATCGAGTTTTTCAGTTGTGATGATCTGCCCATTGTTATCAATTAAAAAACGGTCCTTGGCAAAATCATTTATGATTGAGTAGCTTATTTGTCCATATATGCCAGCATCTCCATCTGTTGCTTTTACGTGTATCACTTTGGTTCCTGGGAGAGAATTTTCTCTAACCTCTGCGACATAGATACTCTGTGAAAACACTGGGCTAAACAAATTTGCTCCAAGAATCCGAATATGGACCTGGGCCGTGCTTGTGAACAAACCATCAGAGACAGACACATTCAGGCTGTACATTGATTCCATTCTCTGCTTTCGATGGTTTGAAAGAGTGATAACACCACTCTTGCTGTCCATCACGAAACTCGTACGATCATTTCCAGACAGGATGCTGTATTCCAGTCGGTCAAAATCAGAGCTGTCTGCATCGGAGGCTTGAACACAAGTCACAAAATGGCCTCGAGGAGCAAGCTCACTGACATACGATTCGTATATGAGCTGGTTAAAAATGGGAGGGTTGTCGTTCATGTCTGTTACAAATATGCTAACTAGAACTTCACTGCTCAATGGCGGGAATCCATTATCAGTTGCCCTCACTTTTAAAATGCATTGCTGCATCAGCTCATGGTCCAACAAACGGGCTGTTAGAATCAGACCACTGCTGCCATCAATGTGGAAATAATCTGTGCTGTTGAAAGCGTCCTGGACTATCTGATATTGGATAATTTTGTTATTCTCGGAATCTGCATCGGTAGCAACAACCTGCAAGACAGGAGTTCCAATCAAAGATCCTTCAGACAAGGTGGCATTGTAGGCAAAATGTTCAAAAACGGGAGCATTGTCGTTCATGTCATTGATAATTAAGTCCACGGTGACTTCAGCTCGGGCACCAGTGAGCGCATCACTGGCTCTCACTGTCAGCTTGAAAATGGGGTTTACTTCATAGTCTAATGGACTGATTACACTGAGAACTCCAGTGTCAAAATCAATGTTGAACTGATTATAGGGATCTCCGTCTACAATTATGTAAATGATACCTTGACCCTCCGGGCTGGTAGCGTTGATGCTCAGGATTGGGGTGTGCATTTCTATGTCTTCATTTACAGAGGCGGTATAGAAAGGCTTGTCGAAAACCGGCATCGCTTTGTTAACAATTGTAATAGGCAATTCTACAGATGCTGACAGTGATGGATTGCCTCCGTCTTTAGCGATGACAATAATTAAATACTCTATGTTTGATAAGTCAGAATTAAAGGCTGCTTTTAGTGTGACACTCCCAGTCTGCCTGTCAATTTCAAAGTGCCCGTAGTCCTCCTTCAGCAGGTAAGCAACGTCGCCATTCGCACCCTTATCTTTATCAATGGCGGTCACACGGTATATCAGGGCACCAGGATCGGCCTCCACTTGTACAGCAGCGTAGTATGGGAGTCCAACAAACACTGGAGAATTGTCGTTGATATCTTCAATGTGAACTCTGACCACCACCCTAGCGACCCGAAGATGATCCTGTTCACGGCTTGCCTCAACCACTAACTCATATAATTCCTGCTCTTCTCTGTCAAATGGGATGCCAGTAGTTTCAATGACACCCAAAGTGGATTTGATCTTGAATTTGTTCCCAGGGTTCAATATGCTATACTTCAAGGGCTCATTAAGACGGTTTCCGACTGCATTGACCACGGCTACTTTTGTGATATTGGTGCTGTTTTCAGAGATGGATGTAGAATAAAGGCTTTGAGTGAAGTGGAGGCCACTGTCCATGGCTTCCTTGACCATTATGGTCACAACAGCAGTGCTGTAGAATTTCCCATCAGATACTTTTGCTATAAGCATATAATGATCTTTGGAAAGGCTGTTGTTTTTTATCGTCACTATCCCTGAAAAAGGATCAATGAGAAAATACTCTGTGTTTCCTTCAATAAGGCTGTATGTCATCTCAGTGGGGACTTCCGAATCTGGGTCCGCAGCCCTGACTTTAAGAACCTCCACTCCAACATAACTTGGCAGAAGCAAGACAGTCTCAAACATGGCCTGGCTGAAAACTGGAGGATTGTCATTGACATCTGTTATATCGATAGTAACTTCAACTGGATTCTCTGCAGTAAGCTGTGGATTACCACTGTCTCGAACATGGACATGAAAATGGAAGTGTGCAATGGTTTCATGGTCTAAATCAGCAATAGTTCTAATTGCACCTGTACTGGAGTCTACCGTAAAATACCTTTTAGCAGTGGATTCAACAATCTGGTAGACAAGCAAAGCATTTTGATTGCTGTCTGCATCTATGGCTCGTATCACTAGCGGGTTGTTTTCTAAGCTCCGGACAATGCTGTTTACAGGTGCAGCCTCACTGATCCGGCCTGAATACTTTAAGAAGAGGAAGACGGGAGGGTTGTCATTTTCATCAACAATCTGGATGTTTACTGTAGCATTTGAGGCCATCCCTGCCATGTTTGTAGCTTGCACAGTGAGCTGGTAAGAGGACATGAGTTCGTAATCAAGAGGCTTTTGACTCGTGATGACTCCTGAGTAGGGGTTTATAGCAAATGCTCCATCAGTGTTGCCTTCAGTGACCTCATAAACTAGCGTGGACTGGCTGATTGCTGAAACCAAGATAACTGAGGTTCCAAAGTCAACATTTTCATTCACCTCCGCTTGCCATTCCTTGTGCGTGAATTTGGGGTGAGAGTTGTCTGACATTGTGACAGATATGCGGACAATGGCTGTGGCTGAAAGCGGTGGAGATCCCTGATCAGACACTTTGACTGATAGAACAAACTGGCTCATAGCGGTTAGGTCTGGTTCCTTCAAAACAGTGATGATGCCTAGGACTGGTTCGATCTTGAAGGTGTTCCCAGTATTTCCTGAAATAATAGAATAGGGATAGATGTCAAAAGCATTTTGTCAACATGTAAAGTCAGAGAGTAATATGCAAGTTCAGAACATTTGCTGATGTTGCATCACATGCAAATCTGTATTCTACGAGGGTTGAATGAAAAGTAATGCCTCCATCTTCGTAACTCCTCACCAGATGGCAGTACTGATATGCAGCAGATACTGGCTTGTTCAGTAGACTCTTGTTCAGTAGACCCATAGCACTTGGTCCTCCAAAGCACTTTACATTTCTTTAAGTCTGCTCGTATGCCCTTCCACAAACACCAGTATCACCTTCCGTTCATGTCCCAGCATTATTTCCAATTTTAACTCTACATTTGGCCTTCCCACTGTTTTTAATTATGTGTTGTTTTATTGATAATGTTGTGTATCTTATTGTCTATGTGTTTTTAATTGCTTGTACTGTCGTTATTATTGCTTGTATTGTTGTGTTTGGGCTCGGCCTCATGTAAGCCGCACCGAGTCCGTTGGGGAAATGGTAGCGAGGTACAAATAAAGTGTTATTATTATTATTTATTATTAGACTCTCCTCTACAGTCCCATTTTGGCTGGAAGCCTTAGCATTGAACAGTTGTGTTGATAAAGTGCAAAGTATGGAACCCTGTGCAGACGGTCGGTCAATGTGACTTAAGTAACGTCACATTGAATTCTTGACAGCAGAAGGTGTCACCCCAAAGGAGATTCATCAGAGAATGCAAGCTGTTTATGGTGATTGTGTTGATGTGAGTGCTGTGCATCATTAGGCAAGTAAGTTTAAAGATGTTGAGGTGACAACTTCTGCAGTCAAGAATTCAATGACTTCACGTTGCTTAAGTCGCATTGACCGACCGTCTGCACAGGGATCCATATTTCTCACTTTAACAACACAACTGTTCAATGCTAAGGCTTCCTGCCAAAATGGAACTGTAGAGGAGGGTCTACTGAACAAGCCAGTACCTGCCGCATACCAGTACTGCCATCTGTTGAGTAGTTACAAAGGTGGAGGCATTACTTTTTATTCAACCCTCGTATGAGTAAAAATGAACAAGTCTTGAGTCTTATGCTTGGATAGCATTCTCACAGAAGCTAGGTTTCCCACAAATTAAATGAGTGACCACACCAAGAAAATTCTACAGGATGTTTATCCATAATTACTTCCTAGCTTACATGTGACTGAATCACATACTTAGAGAAGTTCCTTGTAAGGGTTGCCCATCTCACAGATGGATGCGATTCAGAAGTATAATCCATTGTGCTTAATGAGACTTAATCCCAAGTAATTGTGTTCAGATTTGTCATCTTATCTAAAATATTGGAGTAAGTCTCATTGAACTCTGGGATTTTTCCCAAAATAGATATGCACAGGACTGAATTGAAAGGGCTTTGATTTTCTACGAATCTGCAATGAAAGACTGCAAGCCACTGAACCTCAGTGTGAACAGGTTTAGGAGTGAACAGGCAGGAGGCACAAAACAGCAATAAAAGGCTAACAAATCAATTGTTCGATGCATGAACAAAGATCTATGGTCCGAAATAAGGAGGACTTTAAGCAATTTGAGAATCCTGATTAAATGCATCAACAGGAGTGAATGAAATGAGGAGAGCAGTATTAAACAAAAAAGAAACCCAAAAGGAATTATAATAGCTCCTGATAGAGATAAAAGAAATTCATGGCAGCATGGCTTGTTTATTGATCTCAGCGGATGGGGAGAAATGAAGATGAATCATTATTTAGTGAAGACGTAAATGTGCACCGAATAGAGACTGCCTAGGGACTGCTTAGGCCTAAGATGGGGTGCTTAAGATAGATGCAGGCCATAATAATGAGTTAAGATCAAGGGAGTCTTTTGTCAAAGACTCACAATAAGGATAGAATTTAAAATCACAAAAAATACAGCACAGCTGATGCAAACAGCAAACCCTGGTTCCATTTTTCTCTGTCCCCTTGCCTAATGTGGAGCTGAAACTATCCCATATTCTGCAATGATGTTGTCCATTCAACATCCAGGATTGCTACTCTGGACAAGGTGAATAATACATACTGTAAAAGGTTAGCTCTACAGAGAGTTAACATTTATAACACTCTTCCCTTTTCTCTTAAAACAGAGAGGGGATGTAGTGTTTTTTTTTCTTATTTCTTATCTCATAGAATCATAGAATAATAGAGCTGGAAGATACCACATGTGCCATCTAGTCCAACCCCCTGCCATGCACACAGAAGCATGAAGCATTTGGAAAAATTTCCTCTACACTTGGGGGAGGTTGCAATGTATTTCTATTATATTTTCCAATATTGTTCAAATGTAAGGGTAGTTTTGAGGACAAATGTGTGTAAACTACCTGTCCAAACATATCTCCTGTTATGAACCATCACCAAGTTTAAGATCGTATGGAGAGGCCCTGCTCTCGATCCCACTGCCATTGCAAACGCAATTGGTGGGGATGAGGGATAGGGCCTTCTCAGCAGTGGCTCCCCATTTGTGGAATTCTCTCCCCAGGGACATCAGACTGGCCACTTCACTCCTGTCCTTTAGAAGGAAACTCAAGACTTGGTTGTGGGACCAAGCATTTGACCATTGAATAGCAGCAAGTGAGAAGAAGATGTAAGCAACTCGAAGCGACAATGAATTGACCTGGACTTGGATTTTAATTAGCATGTTTTTAACAATTGTTTATTTAATGTCTTGTTTTTAATGAATTTGTTGAATGTTTTTATGACTGTGATGGCACCAAATGGTTCTTGCTGTGAGTCCCCCCTTGGGGGTGAGAAGGGCAGGGTACAAATGTAGGATATATATATATATATATATATATATATATATATATATATATAAAAAGGTAAAGTTTTCCCCTGACATTAAGTCCAGTCGTATCCGACTCTGGAGGTTGGCGCTCATCTCCATTTCTAAGCCGAAGACCCGCCGTTGTCCATAGACACTTTCAAGGTCATGTGGCCAGCATGACTCCATGGAGCGCCGTTACCTTCCCACTGGAGTGCTATCTATTTATCTACTCATATTTGCATGTTTTTGAACTGCTAGATTGGCAGGAGCTGGGGCTAACAATGGGAGCTCCCCCGCTCCCCCGATTCAAACCTGCAACCTTTTGGCAAGCAAGTTCAGCAGCTCAGTGGTTTAAGGCACAGAAAAATAATTAGGCACTGCCCAAGAATGTACCCCCAAATACATGTGCAATAGTTACTTTTGTGGAACTCCTCTTATGTAACTAGGAATTTAATATGGATTTTAAGCAATGCCACAATAGTACTACCATAAGTAAAAGGTCAAGGTTTTCCCCTGACATTAAGTCCAGTTGTATCCGACTCTGGGGGTTGCTGCTCATCTCCATTTCTAAGCCAAAGAGCCGGTGTTGTCCGTAGACACCTCCAAGGTCATGTGGCCAGCATGACTGCATGCACATAAGGAAAATTAAGAGTGCCTAATATACCAACAGTCATGCCACCCCTGGTATTTCTCAGATGAGACAGCTATGAGTTGGTCTATAAATTCATGTGCTTATCAAAGACGGGTGTTCCCTCCAAGATAGAGTGAGATTATTGGTTTCCATTATTCAGCGATGCACTCCTGTTAGCTGAATCCCCTGGGAAGCAAGGGAGCATGCATATAAGCTGAACTCATCAGTCAGAATTAACATCCTCAGTGCACATTTTTTCATGGATCAGAGGAACAACAGCCTCAGAAAGCTGTATTATGTCACATCCAGAAGCATGGGTGGATAATGAAACAGTGGGAATTTGGAGCTTTATCCAACTGCAGGCAGAGATGAAGATGAAAAACAAAACAGATACAGTCATGGGGAGATAACGTCTCATTAAAGGATTTCAAGCTTTTGTGCAATTGCTGTGGACAGAAGCCTCACACTGTCCCTTTTTCCTGGCCATTGTTCCATCCATCCCACCTTCTTTATTGCTGCAGTCATTTTCCCCTGATGCTGAATTATGCCACGGCTTCACTGTGCCCTTTCAATGCAAAGTTGCATTAACTGGCCAGTGGCAGATTCAAATTTTAGCTGCAAAGCCTGGATAGAAAGGGCTAGATTCGGAGTGGTGATGGGTTACAAAGGGAAGTAGTAGTCAACTGTGAAGGCTTCTTCTTTTCCCCTACATTCTTCTCCCCACAGATGATTTCTCCAACAGTCAGAGGGGTACTCTATCTGTAGTTCTAGACAGAGATGTAAAAATCTCACTTTCACTCTTGTGGAGTTTTTAAAAAATGCTATCTGTATTTCTTCTTAGAATCAAAGAGTTGGAAGAGACCTCATGGGCCATCCAGTCCAACCCCCTGCCAAGAAGCAGGAATATTGCATTCAAAGCACCCCTGACAGATGGCCATCCAGCCTCTGTTTAAAAGCTTCCAAAGAAGAACCCTCCACCACACTCCGGGGCAGAGAGTTCCACTGCTGAACGGTTCTCACAGTCAGGAAGTTCTTCCTCATGTTCAGATGCACTCTTCTTACTCTTGTTTCGTGTTGGGTTTCCACACTTTGCATTTCCTCCTGGCACTGAAACTTGTACAGTCTCTCTCTTACTTTGCAGATTTTTTTTTTTTAATAATCTGATTTCTATAGCATTTTTCCTCTGAGAAACTCCTTTTTAAACGAGTGCTTTAGTTTATCAGAACCAAAGGTATGGACGTCAAGTCCTGGATCTAACTGCTCTGGTATCTCAACAGAATCATTAATACAGGGAAATTAGGGTAATGCATGGTGGGCAACCACTAAAGGTAAAGGTGAAGCTTTCCCCTTGACATTAAGGTTTTTGCAAACAAGTTTTGAGAGGAGTATTTCAGGACTCTATAAAATAATATGGTTAATAATAATAGTAGTAGTAATAAATCTGAAGGTAAAGGTTTCCTCTTGACATTAAGTCTAGTAACTCCGATTCTGGGGGGGGGGGGGGGTGGTGGTGGTGGTGGTGGTGGTGCTCATCTCTACTTCTAAGTTGAAGAGCCAGTGCTGTCCATAGACACCTCCTAGGTCATGTGGCTATGTATCCTGTGCTGTACTAGTAATATAATATAATATAATATAATATAATATAATATACTACAATACAATACAATACAATATATTGTAGGAGCCCCTGGTGGTGCAGTGGGTTAAAGCGCTGGGCTGCTTTAACGGCACTCCATGCAGTCATGCCAACCATATGACCTTGGACCCACATATGACATATGACATACGGACCCACAGGGAAACCCATGATGGAAGACCATCTTACTCATCCAACGAGGGATTGCCTAAGTATGACCTTGGAGGTGTCTACGGACAATGCTGGCTCTTCGGCTTAGAAATGGAGATGAGTATCACACCCCAGAGTCAGACACAACTGGACTTCATTTCAAGAGAAAAACTTTACCTTTACCTAATATACTGAATATACATATAATATTTATAGTATTATAATATAATATAATATAATATACTACTACTACAACTACTACTACTACTACTAATAATAATAATAATAATAATAATAATTATTATAATAATGGAGCCCCTGGTGGCGCAGTGGGTTAAACCCCTGTGCCGGCAGGACTGAAGACCGACAGGTCGCAGGTTCGAATCCGAGGAGAGGGCAGATGAGCTCCCTCTATCAGCTCCAGCTCTTCATGTGGGGACATGAGAGAAGCCTCCCACAAGGATGATAAAAAAAACATCAAAAAAAAAACCCAAAACATCATATCATCCAGGCAATGTCCTTGCAGATGGCCAATTCTCTCACACCAGAAGCAACTTGCAGTTTCTCATGTCACTCCTGACACGACAAATAATAATAATAATACAATATTATAATTATATATATTTATATTACATGTAATATTACTAATAATATTACAATATAATGGTGTAGTACAATATAGTAATACATAATACTGATATTGTACTATGCTAATAATTTAATATATTGTATGTATATATATATATATTGTAAGCCACTCCAAGTCCCCTTTGGGGTGAGAAGGGCGGCATATAAATGTTGTAAATAAATAAATAAATGACTGCATGGAGCGCCGTTACCTTCCTGTCGGAGCGGTACCTATTGATCTATTCACATTTGCATGTTTTCAAACTGCTAGGTTGGCCAAAGCTGTGGCTAACAGTGGGAGCTCACCCCTCTCCCTAGATTCGAACTGCCAACCTTTCGGTCAGTAAGTTCAGCAGCTCAGTAGTTTAACTCGCTGCGTCATCAGGGGCTTCAAGGCAACCACTAGTTGGACTAAATAGGTATTTGGGATCCCTTCCAACTCTACAATACTATTATTCATATCTTCTCCTCTGAAATGCTTGCTGTAATGACCAACACCTACGAATGTACACATGCAACCTATGATCCTGCCCAGTTTATCCATTATAGGAGTTCCAGGACATATACACTTCTGGACATTGGGTCTGGAATCCTGTAGGTAACTTACACTTGTGGAAGTCTCACGTGTTGCTGTAAGTCCTTTCACAACACACATGTAATGAATGGATGGAGGCAAAAGCAATCTCTATGAGGAGATAGTTATCCTGTCAACTCCTAAATAATCTGTGGACCCAGAAGTCTTAGGTCCTTTCTGCTGCTGCAATGCCCGGTCCCCCTTTTTTTGAGTTTCTCCTCCTCCGCTTCCACCAGAGGAGTTATGCCTCAATACAGATTTTGTATAGAACACGATAAAATAAAAGTATTTACATCCCACTGAGGACAATTGGTGGGCCTGGGGCACTAAGATTGTCCTATTGTAGATTTACTCTGGTTCTGAATGTGCAAAAAATTAGATTTCCTTTATATACAATGCTCACTTCCTTATACACTGTTTTTAAAGAACAACAGGGAAATGTAATATCAAAAGTGGCTTGCAGTGGTTTCAAATGAAATCTTTTCCATGATTATTTATAAATCCAATTGGGTTTATTGTTTGATGAGTATGCTTCAAACCATCGCTGAAAAAACAGTTTAAAGATATATGAACAATGCTTTTCACTAAATAATCTATGGCTCATAGCGCATATCAGCACCTGCCTCTTTAGAAAGGAAAATATTTATTTATTTATTTATTTATTTACAGCTTTTATATTCCGCCCTTCTCACCCCACAGGGGACTCATATATGGCAAACATTCAATGCCAATTTTTGACATACAAACATGTACAGACATACACAGAGACCATTTTAATTTTTTCTGGCCACCAAGGGAGCTGTCGCTTTCATTGTCTATCTGCGACACTGATGAAGTACTTTCGCATTCCCCGCATGCTTCCCCGCTGGAATGCTTTGCTGGAGTCTTCTTTATGGCCTCATAAATTAGTTAATTTAGCCTCCCCACACTTTAATGTGGTACCTAATTTTTCTACTTGAGAGATGCAACTGTCTTTGGGGTTGCAAAGGTCAACAACAGGCTACACAATTGGTTGGAAACTCACTCCAACCTGGGCTGGCTTTGAACTCATGACCTTTTGGTCAGAGTGATCTTTAATGCAGTTGACATTCAGCCAGCTGTGCCACAATCCCAGTGCAGAAAGATACAGAAAGATCAATGAGATGGACTTTGGTTTAAATAGGTTCCTAAATCTTAGTGATTTCTATGGGATCTATCTTTTTTGCACTGCATTTCTAGACTAAGTTTAGCAAAAAAATGGCTGGTCATCCAATATAGAATGAATGTAGATTGACACCCCCTTTAGCTGCCATGAAAGCCTGGGAGTTGTAGTTTGGCAAGGTACTAGCACTCTTTGGCAGGGAAGTGTAATGGTCATGTAAAATTACAGCTCCCAGGATACCATAGCATTGCACTATGGCAGTTAAAGTGGAGTCACGCTGTGTTAATTCTGCAACATAGAACACTATATTCTGTGATTTTATGCATGCAGTCTTATAGTGCTGAATCTTTGTGAATCTTTCCAGTCTCTGCTTGCTAACCTGATTCTATTGTGTAGATCAGCTCCGCATTTTCTCCCTTGTCTTTGTCCAGAGCGGTGACCTGTAAGACGGCAGAGCCAATGGCAGCAGATTCAAACACCGAAGCTTCATACAATGGGCTGGTGAAGTAGGGACTGTGATCATTTGAATCTTCCACGTTCACAATGACTCTGGCCAAGTTCCGTCGGTAGGGGAACTCTTGATCGCGCACCTGGAGAGGAAGGGAAAAGCAGTGATAGGCAGCAGGAAGGCATTTGGAGCTGCTTGTAAAATTAAAAAAACAACATGTGGACAAGTGACAAATCTTTAAATTTGAACAAGCTATGTAAAGGTTTCCTAAAGGAGGGCTTTATTTCCAAAGTATATTCTTGCAAGATTATTCCTATCATGGAGTCCCCGGTGGCGCAGTGGGTTAAACCCCTGTGCCGGCAGGACTGAAGACCGACAGGTCGCAGGTTCGAATCCGGGGAGAGGTGGATGAGCTCCCTCTATCAACTCCAGCTCCTCATGCGGGGACATGAGAGAAGCCTCCCACAAGGATGATAAAAACATCAAAACATCCAGGCGTCCCCTGGGTAACGTCCTTGCAGACGGCCAATTCTCTCACACCAGAAGCGACTTGCAGCTTCTCAAGTCGCTCCTGACACGACAAAAAAAATCCTATCATATTTTCTCCTTGGATTCTGAAATTCTAAATCACTTGCTTTTTATTGAATGAGTGATTCTATTCACTAGCTCCTTCTACCTAAAGTTCTACCAATCTATTAGCAAAATGTCATTTCTCTGCTGCTGATTTTTTAAATTGTTTCCATATTAATAAGGACTGAATAGGGTTGCAATCTCTTAGCATGACCGCATTTGTGTATATGAACCCACACAATCTCTTCGATCATCTGGAGAGGCCCTGCTCGCGATCCCACCTGCGTCGCAAGCGCGATTGGTGGGGTCGAGGGACAGGGCCTTCTCGGTGGTGGCCCCTCGACTCTGGAACTCCCTCCCCAAGGACATCAGGCATGCCCCATTGCTAGCAGTCTTTAGAAGGAGCTTGAAAACGTGGATGTTCCAGTGTGCCTTCCCAGAATAAGGAAATCCAAGCAATGTGTCCCAAATGCACTTTACGAGAGATTTAGGATTGTCTGCACGCCCACCTATCCCTAAAACATCTAGCCTATTTCACTTGGACATGCCCAGCATTTTTTAAAATTTTAACCATTACATTGGTCGTGCCTCAGGTTTTTAATATGTCGTGATATTATTGTTATTGTTTTTGCTTTGTTTATGAGTTTATTTATTGTTGTATTCTTGTTGTTGTTGTTTTATTGATGTGTTTGGGCTCGGCCTCTTGTAAGCCGCACCGAGTCCTGTGGGAGATGGTAGCAGGGTATAAATATAGGTTTATTATTATTATTTATTATTAGCCTCAAGGGAAGGCAATGGCAACCCTATCTGAAGAAATATTGCCATGAAAACCCTGTGATAAGAACGCTGTAAGTCAGAAATGATCCGAAGGCTTACAACAACAATTTGTATCTCTAGATCTTGCTTAATGGATTCTGCTTATAGATTTTAAATATATATGGGTGTGACCTTATAGTTTTGACAGTTGCTTTGCCAGCAAAATGGATGTCCTCAAATGGTGGTGGACTCTCCTTCTGCATTAAAAAAACAAATTTGATGATATTTTAGTTGTGGATTGTATTAGCTTGGTGAAATTTAGATCACTTCTAACTCCACAGCTCTATGATACTTTAAGTACCCCAAGAAGTCAGGTATTGACCTGACTGAAAAGGTAGATTGAATAATAATAACAATAATAACAACTACTACTACTACTCTGGGACTTCCAAATTCAGACAGACAGAGTTTTGGAGCACAATACTCCTGACCTCACGATTGTGTTAAAAAACAAAGTATGGATCGACAGCAGGATTGAAGAGAAACAACTGGAAAAGCTAACAGGATATAAGGATTTAAAGATCGAACTACAAAGACTCTGGGACAAACCAGTAAAGGTGGTCCCAGTGGTGATCGGCACATTGGGTGCAGTGCCTAAAGACCTGACAAAATTACCATCTGCCAGCTGCAACAGGCCACCAATCTGCACGCATTATTCGCCGATATATCACACAATCCTAGACACTTGGGAAGTGTCTGATGTGTGATCCAATGCAACAGCTAGCAGAGTGATCTTGTTTGCTGTAGACTCAGCTTGTTGCGTTTCAAATAATAATAATAATAATAATAATAATAATAATAATAATAATAATAATAATTTATATTCTGCCCTTCTCATTCCGAAGGGACTCAGGGCGGATCACAGTACACATAAACAGCAAACATTCAATGCCATTTTTGTACAGACAATACAGAGAAAGACAGAATAGAAGGAGGTGTGTTGTTGTTTTGACTTAATGTCCAGCTTTTTTGTGCCATGGAAGGTCGGGCTCGAATCCAGCCACAGGAGGTGCTGTCGCTCCATCCTCTATGACAAAGAGGAAGTCCTTCCTTTTGGTTGCCCAGCATTTTCCGATCTTCTTTCTGCATGGCATCATAAAACACCTCCCCCGCTTTTAGCAGTACCTAATTTTTCTAATTATAGCTAAAGATGTTTTCGAACTGCTTAGGTAAACAGTAAGCTGAGCTGACAATCGGCAGCTTACACTGACCTGAGGCTTTGAACTTGCAACCTTTCAGTTGATAGATCTTATAATTCTTGGTGACTTACTAGCTGTGCTAAACCCCTGGCAAACATGAGTCAGAATGAACCAACAAAGGAAAAACACAACAGAATGTGGGCGACCTACTCATTTATAACATTTTTTCAGGATTTCTGGCACTCTAGATTAAATTCAAGGTGAATTAACAAGTTCTTAAAACATTGAGGGGAGGGGAGAAGACATAATTCTCGCTCCATAGCTTTCAGCAGCATCTACTTCACAGCGGAACAATTTCTTCTCTGTAAATTAGGCACACCAACTAGCATTTCCTGCCTTGAAAGAGTTCTGCAGAAGTCTATGATAAATCAGGGTACTTTGCTTTCAAAAACCGAGCCTGGCAAGAAAAATGATAATCACCTTGTTAACAGCTTTGGAAAGAATGCTAAAACTTCTTCTCAGAAATTCTTTCAGAAAGTCACCTCTGATAAAAGGTGCCGACATTGGGAGATTACAGTTTTTTTTTTCATCCATGTTCTCCCTCAAGATGATGCAAAACTATTTTCCAAGATTAAAAAAAAACTCTTTCACGCTAAGCCTTGCAGAGCACACGCAATGAATGAAGGGATGAATAAATAAGCGCACTGCAATGCAGGGAAGGAAATTAATTACTGCTTCCTTACCTAATTTTGAAGGTTTTTTGCTTATCGGAAGTCTGTAACACACCAGTTAAAAACAGCAATCTGAAGGTAGCAGCCCAATGCCTTTAAAGCACATGCCTTTATAGTCAGCGATTGCAGCTGAGAACAGAGTTAATATAATCTCTTCTTACCATTATATTGAGGATGTGCTTATCCTGAGCTTCGTGGTCTAGGCGCTCGGCGGTATATAGCACTCCTGTGTTGGGATCTATTCTGAACTTCCTCATGCTGACCGAGTCAATGCTGCTGTGAACGATATAACTCAGCTTGTGTTTCTCATCTCTATCTATGGCTTCGACTTGCAGGATTTCGGTGTCAGGCAGGATGTCTTCCGAAATTGTAACGTCATAACTTGGCTGGGAAAATTCAGGGCCATTATCATTGTTGTCAAGGACTTTGATGAGGACCTGCAGATAAGAAGGAAACAATGAGGGGAAAGTTAAAACATTTACACACAAACTCACTTAAAGTGGTATACCATATGACCCCTCCCCGCATGTCCACAAAACTGGTACTCATGGTTTCACCTACCCACATCCAACAAAATATGTTCTTCCTAGAAGTTTTTTTGGGTCCTTCAAGCGATTTTATGGCATGCGTCTGTCACAAGTTTACCACAGAGTTGCCCTGCAGGACATTAAAAAGTCCCAGAGAATGTCTCTAGGAATGTTCTACAGCTTCCAGGGTGACTTGATGGTTATTTCTGGTGGATGTTAATTTCAATAGGGTTCATAATTATCGTTGCACTCCAGCACAGGAATAACCCTCTGACTCTTTCATCACCCTCTGTAATCTCCCAACCCTGCTCTATGCCTGTGAGACGTGGACTGTCTACAGACGTCACATGCAACTCCTGGAACGATTCCATCAGCGCTGCCTCCGGAAAATCCTGCAAATCTCTTGGGAAGAGAAGCGGACAAGCGTCAGCGTGCTGGAAGAAGCAAAGATCACCAGCATTGAAGCGATGGTCCTCCAACATCAACTCCGCTGGACGGCCACGTTGTCCGGATGCCGACCCACCACTCCCAAAGCAGTTGCTCTACTCCGAACTCAAGAATGGAAAACTGAATGTTGGGGGCAGGAAAAGAGATTTAAAGATGGGCTCAAAGCCAACCTTAAAAACTCTGGCATAGACTGTGAGAACTGGGAAGCCCTGGCCCTTGACCGCTCCAGCTGGAGGTCAGCAGTGACCAGCAGTGCTGCAGAATTTGAGAAGGCACGAGTGGAGGGTGAAAAAGAGAAACGTGCCAAGAGGAAGGCGCGTCAAGCCAACCCCGGCCGAGACCGCCTTCCACCTGGAAACCAATGCCCTCACTGCGGAAGAAGATGCAGAGCAAGAATAGTGCTCCACAGCCACATACGGACCCACAAGAATATTGGAAGACAATCATCCTCGGAAAATGAGGGATCGCCTAAGTAAGTAAGTAAGTGATTAAAAATAAATAAATATTTTATATATTGTCGAAGGCTTTCATGGCCGGAATCACTGGGTTGTTGTAGGTTTTTTCGGGCTATATAGCCATGGTCTAGAGGCATTCTCTCCTGACGTTTCACCTGCATCTATGGCAAGCATCCTCAGAGGTAGTACCTCTGAGGATGCTTGCCATAGATGCAGGAGAAACGTCAGGAGAGAATGGATCTAGACCCTTTAAAGCACCACACATCAAATAGGAAAACAATCCTTTTATTGAAGATAAGTAAAAACAGCAAAGTAAAAAAAACTTTAAAGGAATAGGTAAATCCAATTAGGTAAAAAGATAAGCAGGAACAAATTAGTCCAAGGTAGAGTTCAGCAATGCCCAAAAACAAAGTCCACAACTCTCTAACAAAATCCAAAGAACCAGGAAATGTCCAAGGCATGAGCAGGTAATCACAAGAGACAAAAACCAAACCAGGAAACAAGAAATCCTTAAGCATGAATCTTAAAAAGCAAGGCTTCTATAAGACAAGGACAATAACTTAGCATGATTCTAAACGATGCTTCATCTGACTGTATTTTCCATGCTTGGAACTTTGAAGCCTTTCCATGCACTCAGAAACTGGTTTCGCTTTCCTTGAGCTGCCCTTATCTTTTTTTGTTGAAGCCTGGCAGAACGCCGAAGGCATTGCTCAGCCTGTCTGTTTTGACTAATTTCCGCCCGGCTATCCATATGCTCATTAGTTTCTGCAGGCGCCGAGTTGTTTTCAAGCCCCAAATCCTGGGAACTCTCTGGGAGCAATTCAGGGAGTACACCATCATCCCTATGCCTTGTAGGAACATTCTCATGGGAAACTACACTTTGAACAGGTGTCTCTCTGTCATTCTTTGAAGTAGGAAAATGGGTTTATATATCTGTGGAATGACCAGGGTGGGACAAAGGACTTTTGTCTGCTGGAGTTAGGTGTGAATGTTTCAACTGACCACCTTGATTAACATTTAGCTTGGAAGTGCCTCGGGGAATCTTTTGAGAGGTGATTAGATGTCCTGTTTGTTTCCTCTTGTGTTGTTTTTTTTGTATTTAGTTTTTAATACTGGTAGCCAGATTTTGTTCATTTTCATGGTTTTCTCCTTTTTGAAATTGTCCACATGCTTGTGGATTTCAGTGGCTTCTCTGTGTAGTCCGACATGGTGGTTGATAGAGTGGTCCAGCATTTCTGTGTTCTCCAATAATATGCTGTGTCCAGGTTGGTTCATCAGGTGCTCTGCTATGGCTGACTTCTCTGGTTGAAGTAGTCTGCAGTGCCTTTCATGTTCCTTGATTCGTGTTTGGGCAATGCTGCGTTTGGTGGTCCCTATGCAGACTTGTCCACAGCTGCATGGTATACAGTAGACTCCTGCAGAAGTGAGAGGATCCCTCTTGTCCTTTGCTGAACGTAGCATTTGTTTGGCACTGCGTTTGGTGGTCCATATATACTTATTTTGAACACAAACATTTACAGCTCTGTTTGCTCTGCCAGTCCAGGTTGGTCACTACTCCCACCACTACTAATGACAGCCATTTAAAAGCAGATAGAGCAACTGGCAGAAACACACAGCTGTTTTTCTCGTGCACAATCTGCAACCGCATGGAGAGTGAGAGATCTGAAAAAAAAATCTGGAGGGTAAGATAGAGTAATAAAAGCCCTCCGCACACTTTTTAAAGTGTGCACAGGGGGTAGGCGGGTGAATGGAGAGGATGTGCACTTGAAAGTGTTTACAGGGCTTTTGTTCAAGCCCAGTCGCATACACCCACACTTGGTGTTTTAATGGTGGAAAAGATTTACTGATATGCTATTATAACAGTATTTTATGAAAAGAAGTTTCCCTCGGAGAGACATGAAACATTAGCTTTCCACGATGTTAGTGAGACGTTTGTAAAATACTTTACCAGAAATTGCATAAACAATCCCTCCTCCCCAAATTGCCTGTAATGACCCATCTTGGGAACAGTCTAGAAGGCACTTGTAATAAAATTCCCTCTAAGTTAAGATTATTATACGTTACTTAGGAAGCCAAGGTAGCCTTGGGGCGGGGTTGTTTTGTGAGCCTTTGGGGGCTGGGGGAGCACGAAGAAAGGGAGAAGTGGTACCTAGATTTATGGAAGACGAAGGCAGGGGGGGAAGTCAAGGGACACATATCCTGCAAAATCCACAGTGCTAATGATGACAAATATTCCTTGCTTATTATGACTAGAGTTTGGTTAATGCACACTAGGGTACTCTACTGGCCTTAACTAAAATAATAATAATTCTATAAATTCTCTAAGATTGAGTACACTTTTCAGGATTTGGCTTGCCACACCATAGCAAAATGTTTTCCTTTGTTGCAGGAAGAAGCAAAGACTAAAATGAAACCCCTGATCTTATTTTTATTAGGTTTAAATAATAAATGATAATATTAGTTATAACAACGCTGCAAAACACGCATTATGGCTACAACTTTATACTCACTGTCTTGGGAGTAAGCCCTGCTGAACTCCGAGATCTTAAAACATCATACAACAAAATCATAAACCCAAAATTATTAATTTCTTGTATATCTAGCCTAACCCCATTTAAATGTATCTTCACAACAACCCTGTTAAATAGATTAGGCTGACAGATAATTAGCAGTTCAAGGTTGCCAGATCACCTTATGGGCTGAGTGGGGATTTGCAAAACAAGTTTTCCCACCAGAGATCTAACACCATAAAATGTGAACACTGTGAAATAAGAAACTTGGTATGAATCCTAAAGGAAGTCTTTGATCTTAAACTGGCTTACTTCTAAAGTGGATTAATTAATTTCAGTTAATTAAAATTTGTCTGTAGACTGTACTACCACCTTCAGTCATTTATGCTGCAGACTTCCCAAATGTTCTTAGTGATGAACCTGCAGCAAGACTGAGGATATTAATTTATTGAGAGGGCCTCGAGCTGCTCCATAGTATGGTTCTCTCTGCAAGGCCTGTGAACCCTTCAAACAATTAAAAGAGAAGCAGAAAAAGAGTGAAAGGAAGCCCTTAGTGTTCATAGGGGAGGAGAGTGGACAGAGAAAAAGATATAATGACGTTCAGAGTGGAGGTACAAAATAATTATTTAAAAAGAGCAATAACAGGGAGGGGAAAAAAACAGGAGAGGGAAAGAAACGATGAAATGGAGCTTCAAAAACATCACAACATGGGTATGTCTGCTACTAAAAATGATACTAAAAGTCAGAGAACTCTGTAAATCATATGTACAAGAGTGGGATGTACTGTATTTTCCGGCATATAATAATAATAATAATAATAATAATAATAATAATAATAATAATAATAATCTTTATTTATACCCCTCCACTATCTCCCCTATGGGGACTCGGAGTGGTTTACATGAGGCCAAGCCCAAACAACAATTACAACAACAACAACAACAACAACAACAAACCAAAAACATAAACCGAAAACTCAACCAATATAAGACGACTGGGCGTATAAGACAACCCCTAGATTTTCCAGTTAAAATATAGAGTTTGGGATATACTCACTGTATAAGATACCCCTCTTTCAATGCACACCAAATATTTGTTTTTTTTAAAAAAAATCAGATTTGATTTCAATATGGTAATTTTCCTATTACTGTACCTCCTTCTCTGCCTCTCAGATCTCGCACATGCGCACTTGCGCCACTTCACTGCAGTCCTCAGGAGCGAGATCTGAGAGGCAGAGAAGGAGGTACAGTAACAGGATACATGGGCGGGACAGACAGGTGAAAGAGGCATGTTTTTTTGGGCACAGCACTGCTCTATCTCATTTTTTTCACACTTCGGCCATTCTGGATGCCTGCAGCTTGCTCTGCCCTTCACTTACACCTTCCTGGTGAGGTGCCCCCTCACCTCATCATCGGGACCACATTAAGTCACTTCTTTCCATGAATTCTGGTGAGTGGATTTTCTTGTACTGTACTTGTACAGTGCTGCCCTTGCTGCT